AGCTCATCATGGTGCAGGCCTGAGGGTCCTCCCCAGCCCTGCTGAATCGGAACCTGCAGTGAGCAGCACTGTCTTCCTGGCTGCATCTCAGGGCTGTGCACACGTGTGCACTCACATGTCTACATGCACATGTGTGTGAATCAACTGTTAGAACAGCTGGGCTCTAGACCTGGTTCTAACACGGATTTGCTGGGTGACTCAGCGGCCCCTGACCCGTCTAAGCTCTGGGTTCCTGCCTTCTGCCTTGGTTCCTGACACCAGCGGCCAGCCAGTGGTGTGGTTAGGGTGGCTGGATCCCATGTGGCCCACTGTGCCAGATGTGTGTGTGTATGTGCCCCAAATCCTGAGGAGACTGGAGAAGGGACTGCGGCTGCAGTGTGAATAGGCCACACGGGGGCACGTTCTCACTTTCTCTGTCTCTCCCTCTGGTGAGCACACATACTCTCTAGCAATTATATTGATGTGCTTGATTCAGCCAATATACGGTGTATTTTGGATGGAAAATTCATTTGTATGCTGTAATGACGTACAGTAAATTAATGTAAAAAATAAATAAATTTAAAGAAAAATAAATAAACTAAACTAAATAAAATAATTACAAAAAAAAAGCAAACAAAACAAAAACCATAAAACTGAAAGTCCCACGTCGAAACCTGTGTTCATTTCCTAGGGTGTCACAAGGCACCACAAACTGGCAGCTTAAAAATGAGACACTTACGGGACCAGCAGGTGTGTAATAGCTAAGTCCCGGACCCGGTGGCTTAAACTCACGCCGGATGCATATGCGTGTGTGTCCAAGATGCCGAGAGGAGAATGGAGAGAAGGGAGTGGCATGGCTGTCCCTCCTGGGGTGGGTGGGTGGGTGATTTCTCGCTTTCTGTCTGTCTCTCTCTGTCTTTCCGGTGAGCACATGCACCCTGTAGCAAAAACCTCTCCAGAAAAAAAAAAAGAAAAAACAATGAGGCACTTACTTTCTTACATGCTAGAGGCCAGCGGGGCGCCCCTTTCTGGAGCCTGGAAGGAGACTCCATCCCAGGCCTCTTGGCTCCTGTGGCTGCTCGGGCCTCGGCGTCCAGTGACATCCCAATCCTGCCTCCACTTCCCACGGCACTCTCTGCACCTGTGTCATTCTTATAACGCCACCAGACGTTGGCTGGGGGCCAGTTCAGGCAGTGACAGCTCCTGAGCCCCAGTGCCTGTCTCTGCCGTGTCCCGGCCTCGCTCCTGGCGTAAAACCGGGCTGCCAGCGTCTGGTTGGCACCTCTCCAAACACGTCCCTGAAGCAGCGGTTGCCCTGGACCTTAAAATGCACGTCTTCTGTCCCACTAGGCCCATGGAAACAGGCACTTTGGGGTGAGGCCTGCCTGTTTTCAAGAAGCCTGGGTGCCCACAGCTCTGTGGGGAGTCCTGCTGGAGGCGGCTTTGTTCACACCTTCACTCGCTATCCCACTACAGAGAATGGGCCGTGCATGGAGGCTCCTGGTATGGGAAGCCGCAGTGCCGGGCCATGCATGGCTGGCTCCTGGTACGGGAAGCCGCAGTGCCAGGCCGTACATGTCTGGCTCCTGGTATGGGAAGCTGCAGTGCCAGGGTTGAGGACAGCGGGAACGGCTGGAGAGGTCCTCACCTTAGAGGTGACAAGCGGACCATTTCCTCCGCTGTAGGCAGCCTGGGAGGTGGTGGGAGCTCGGAAGTCACCTCCCCAGCACCATGAAGACCCAAGGTCCACCCACTCCCACTCAGAGCCTGGGCACAGGTCAGCCTTCTCGCGGGCAGCATGCAATCCACTGCTCCGCGCCAGGGGCTGAGGGCATGGGGCTGAGTGCCAAGGGTGCAGAGTGACGCAGGACAAGGGACCATCAGGACCTCTGGCGCGTGAACGACACGGGCTGCGTCTGTCGCCATAGCTGTAGGTCACAGCGCTCGACACCTCGGGGTGGATGGGGTGAACCACTCTTCCTCAGGCTCGGTAAACTTGTGTGGAGGTGGCCGCGATGCTTTGCGCGGCAGTTCTGGGTGTGTCACCAGGGAGATGGCGGCACGGCGGGAATTCGAGTAGTCTGCAACGTGGACACCGCTGGACACATAACTGGGTGCTGAACAGGCTTCTAGGCCGCAGTGACCTGCCGGTGAGAGCGGAGGCTCGGTCAAAGGCAGTGCTGCCACCCGCCGGACTGTGACTTGGCGTCCACACAGGCCTGGCACGATCCACGGTCTCCCTTCTGGCCATCACTACAGCCCTGGCCAAGGGAGGCTTTGCAGGCCTGGCAGAGACACCAAAGGGCCCTGCGGCTGAGTGGGGAGGACAGAGATGGTCATTGGGTCCGTGAGAAAGGGGAGTCCCTGCAAAGGTGACCACACGGAGCCAGAGACACACATGCGTGTGCATGTTTTAAGTGCCTAAGGTGCAATGTGCTGGCCGGGGGGAGAAAACACCCCTGGGTGCGGCGTGGTCACACTCCAGCCCCTTCCCTCCACCTCCCTCCTGCCGGGATTCTGTGCACGCATGCCACCGGGGCCAGGATTACAACTGCAGTCGGCCTTCTGGGATCTGCCTCCTTAGCCACTAGACAACACTGCTGGCTCTACATGTATATTTTCATGGTAACCTTTCCCTATTTATTTATATCGTTTTTTCCCTGAGAGCTTTTTATGGTTACACGGCCTGTGTGCTTGCTGGACAGACAGAAAGCAAGATGGCCATGCAGCAATGCCTTCTCCTCTTCTCCCCTTGGGATCTTGGGCACGCACGTACAAGTACAGGAATGTTTTAAGTTGCCAGGTTGGGGACTTGAGCTGTGGTTAACTAAGTGGGAGTCCAGCGACACAGCCATTACGCCATGTGCTGGTCCCCCCTCATTAAGCAACCACAGTCTGTAGTAACGGACGCCCAATAGAATCGGTGGGAGAACAGGCGGCAACAGGCCTGGCAGGAGCCTGGCTTTCACGTGAGCTTGGCTGGTGTCTGCGCCAGTGCCGTAGATTAAGATGCTAACTGTGATGCTCAGGGCCACGGGCAAGAGAAAGAATACGCAGTACAAGGAAACAGAAGGAAATCAAAGCAGTGCAGTAGGGAATGCCTGCTCATGGCCCTGTGCTAGAGGTGGAGACCCGCCACATGTCACACACGGTACAGAATGGAAACCAGGGTCTGGGGCTGCACGCGCTGTGCTGGGCCATGAGACGTGGTCACGGCACTGAGGCAGGCCCTTCCTGCCTTGGAAGCCCCTGGCAGGCGGCGGTGCTGAGACCCAGAGGTTGAGAAGCCGTGGGACAGAGTCCCAGGTGGCGGAAGCTGTGAGCCCAGAGACCGCAGGCAGGGCCAGGAGGGCTTTGTGGTCCTGGGAACCGGCTACGGCAGGAGGGTCACGCCAGGTCCCAGGAAGGTGACTGGGACACGGCTGGAGGATTTCTAGCCATGCTGCCCGTAGTAGGAGACAAGTCAGGCCTCCCACGAGCTGCTTCTGGCTGCAGTGGACACAGAGGGACCAGACAGAGGTGGCACTCAGGTTTCGGGCCGTAGCCTCTGATGGACGGCAGTGGGGTTTCCTGCAAGCCTAGGGGAGGACGGCATGAGGCCAATCAGGAGGTAAACCTCAAACATGAACACGAGACGGTTTGCACGACACCCCAGTAGTGAGGGCATGAGGCCAATCAGGAGGTATACCTCAAACATGAACACGAGACGGTTTGCACGACACCCAAGTAGTGAGTGCATGAGGCCAATCAGGAGGTATACCTCAAACATGAACACGAGACGGTTTGCACGACACCCCAGTAGTGAGTGCTGACCTAAGTCAGCCGGCCAAGGAGGTCTGGGTGAGACAGAAATTTTGGACTCATCAGGCAAAAAAAGAGTTCACGTCATGACTGGGCCGAGTCAAAGAAGAGGGTACAGGTGGGGCAGGGTCTGCTGGAAGGCCTGATTCCCACCACCAGCCAAAGGGGCCCATGCCACACTGGCGAGTGCGAGGCAGACCACCTTTTTTTTTGATAGGTTTTTGCTATAGGGCGTGTGCACTTGCCAGAAAGATAGAGAGAGAGAGAGAGAGAGGAGAAATCACCCCCCAGGGGGGATGGCCACGCCGCAATCCCTTCTCCTCCATTCTCCTCTCAGGATCTTGGGCACGCACGCACACACGCCCAGCATGAGTTTAAGCCACCGGGTCTGAGACTCGAACCGCGGCTGGTTACATGGGAGTTCAGCGACATAGCCATTACGCTAACTGCTGGTCCCAGATCACCTTTTAACGCTGCACATTTTGGGGTGAAGACAGGCAAACCTATATTCTAAATGCTACCCTTCCTGATGTGCACTGAAGCCAGAGCAAGGCTCCCAACAGACGGTTCCTTCTCTGCACCACCCTAGCGGCCCCTTTAGGGGGTTTGGACAAGCACGCCTGCTAGCTGTCCACCGCCATCAGCCATCTGCCCCACCTTAACTACTCTGGTAAGGGTTAGCCTTTTAATGGGATCAGCAGATGGCATAATGGTTACATTGCTGAACTCCTACGTAGTTGACCGCAGTTCAAATCCCAGACCCAGCGGCTAGTTGTGTGCACGTGGCGTGCCCAAAATCCCAAGAAGAGAATGGAGGAGAAGGGACTGTAGTGTGATCGTCCCCCTGGGGGAGGGTGATTTCTCGCTTCCTGTCTCTCTGGCAAGTACACGTGTCCTATGGCAAAACCTCTAAAGCAAAACAAGGGTTAACCTTTTCAGGGTGGACGAAAACATAGGCCTTACTGGAGAGTGACTCCCCTTGTAGATCCCCTGGGCCACCCTGCGTCAGTCGATGGCGACCCACCCTGGCACCCACCGTGAGCCAGAACTGGCCAGTCCCTGCCTGCCGCCTCGCCAGCCCCTCCCTGAAGGTGCAGGTGCCGGGAGGGCTTCGCACACCAATTCCTGAAGCCACATCCTCCATTGGCTCGAGTCCTGCCTCAGCCCTCCCGGAGGCCCAGGCCTAGCTTTTTCAGAGCCACATCAAGTAGCACGAGGGATTAAGGTTGCAGCTATTTTATTTACAAGTATACATTTAACACAATGAAATAAACACTGATATATTGAAGCCTAGTTTATAGTAGTGTAACAATACGTATCATTTTGATGATTACATTATTTTAAACAACAAACTACACTGAAAAATTAATGCCGATAAAATTCTTGGTCATAATATTATTAAGAAATACAATATATAAATTGAAAATATGATTGCTTAAAATTTGAAAATGGAAGTGAACTCATTTGGACAGAGTCAGAGTTTAACATAATCTGAAAGGGGAAAAAAGCTCTGACCCAAATGATGTCTTTCAGGTTAACAGAAGAAAAAAGAAGCAAGTGTATCGAAGGAGAACGGGCAGTCTGCTCTTCAGGCAGGACCTGTCGCAGCGGCCCCGGGTCCTGCACTGGGTCACATCACCGAGCACGAAGACTTTCCTTGTGAAGCTGCCCCGTCGATTTTCTCTGCCTCCAAAATTATCCTTCTGAAAACGTCAACGGCAGTCTGGAAAGACAAAGAGCCTCGCGGTGTGAAAGAGCCGGCGGGACGGGGTGAGGCCAGGCGCCTGCAGGTGCAGGCGGGGCGGGAGCCCCAGAGCTCCAGCCCCTGCCCCTTCTACGAAGGCCCCTGCTGGCCGGAGACTGGCACAAGCAGCTCCCCGCATCCCGCGTTGGTGGTAACCCCGTTTCCAGCTGCCCCGCAGCCCCAGAAATCCCCTTCCCAGACTGCCTCCGATTCTGGCCCCCTCACCCGTGGGGTCCCTTCTACTGTCAGCTTGACCCCCTCACCCCCACCCCCAGGACATGCTTTCCCTGCAGCACCTCCTGAGGGCCACTTCCTCTCATGCCTCTGGCACCAGGGCACACACCGGGTCTGAGACTCGAAGCGCGGTTGACCACATGGGAGTTCAGCGACATAGCTCCTCCTGCTCTCACCTCCCCAAGACTCTAGCCTCGACTCAGCCGGCACCCGGCCAGAAGGCAGCCTCGCTTCCCGGCAGGCCCTGTGATGACGCAGACCCAGGCAGTCCTTGCCATTCCACTGCACACTCCGGCCTCCCACAGCCCGGCCTCGCGGACCCCAGGCCCCTCTGCTGATGCCCACCTTCTGACCTTGTCCTCTAGGTTCCCCACGCTGCGAGTCCTTCACAATAAGGGGTCCCTGTCACTTTGGCAGGAAACCTTCTCTTAAGCTGCAGGAGGACAAAAACTGCCCCCCCCTCCTTTAAGTGCAGTCACTGTAATGGTGGGAAAACACCCACCTCCAGAGCCCCACGGCAGTGGCTGATATCGCTGCCAATACCACGCCGGCCCCACTGCCCCACTTCACGTACCCCAACACTATCCCCCGATCCCCCAGCGTGGGATTCTCGGGCCCGTGGGACCTGATTGGTGGGCTCTGCTCCACATGCCCCCACCTCTTAGCCACTTCTGTTCTGTCTTTGGGAGCCAGCCTAGATGCCACCATGGTGACCTGGGACAGCTCCTCCGCCCTTCGCCGACTGACTGCCAGAGCAGGCCCACCACACATCCGGTCCCCTCACTTGCAGGCAAAGGCTTACGCCCCATGCTTCCTCCTCAAACATCCTCCCATTTCCACACTCGGCCAGAAACCTGCTTTGCCCTTCGCCAGAGAGCAGAAACCACACTCACAAGATTCTGTGACAAACTCCCTGCCAAACGGCCCGCCCACGTGGACCCAGGATCGCCTGCTCTGCGTGTCCTGGTGGGCAAAGGAGGCGTCTCGTCCCCTCCTGATCTAAACCAGCCCCGTGCCTCATGCTTCATCCGGCCTCGGTCACTGACTAGACTGCCCAATGGTAGAGTGGGCAATGTACCAGACCTCAGCCTGACAGCCCAGCGGAACCTGCCGCGTTGTGAGGCCAGCCACGGGAGGGCTCCAGGTGGACGACTGCAGACGCCCCTCAGTCCGCTGGGCACACGTGTGCCCATGAGCTAAAGGGGGGCTGGTCGTGGCAGTGAGACCCTGCTGGAGGGGCTGTCCATCCCTCTCTCGTGGAAGAAACAGACTTTAAACAAAAACAAACAAAAACTTCTCAGAGTTTAGTCTTGTCACACCACATAAAATATAGCACGATCTCAGACAAGTTCTTAACTTCCATTTTTTATTTAACCTCTGGGTCCTCACCTCTAAAATGCAGGGATTTGAAAAGACACTCTCAAGCACAGGGCAGGCGCACAACGAATGGTTTAATTCAGTGAGAAAACCAAAGTTTCTCTGACCTCCTCGACTCTTACCGGAATTTTTCACTATCTACCCTCAGATGGGAGCCGATTCGGACACACCCCCTGCCGCCTGGAACCCGGGCATCAGTGACACAGATTTCACACCCTCCATGTCTAAACGCGAGGAGAAACAGACCTCCGATCACGGGAAGGCCGAGAGTGCTAGCACCCAAGACGCGCCAGAGCTGCGCAGTTATGGAGGGTGAAAGGTAAGGGGTGCCTCAGGTCCCAGAAGGAATTACGGGAGAGGAGAGAAGACACTGGCCGCCCGTGGTGGTTCAGATAACTGGATCCCGCATGGCTGACTATGCGATTCGAGCCCCAGATCTGGCGGCTTGAGAATCACACCAGGCACACGTGAGTGCATGCACGCCTAAAATCCCAAAAGGAGCAGGAGGGACGGGTGTGGGCATGGAGGGTGCTTTCTCCTCGCCTCTGCTTCTCTGGCAAATGACGCCCGGCAAATTATAAAAAAAAGGGAGGGAGGAAACTACTATTCATCTCAGCTGGATGGAGCAAGACGGGGTGAGGGGGGTGAGATCGAAGCAGAGACTGAGGGCAGGGCCAGACCTCAGGGAGGAGGGGAAGAAGCAGAGGGGCAGATGGCGCTTGCTGGTGATACCAAAAAGCCGCCAACCGCCCACACTGAACTGGGCTTCTTCAGAGAAATGAAGATCATTTATCTTGCTGTTCAGGGGAGCTATGTTCTAGACTCCCGAAATATTCAGACAAGCAGAGTGGAGGAAAGATTTTGTCACAGAATGACCAGAAACCACCGCAGAAGCACAAGAAACGAGAGGAATCAAGAAAATGTCTCTCCCCTAAGGGAAAGGGACAATCCCTCATCATCCACAGACAGACATGAGAACTTGTGGGAATAGGGAGTTCTGATAGGGAATTCAGAATATTCATGGTGACAAACTAAACGAGATGCAAGGGCTGAGAGATAATGAACTCCAGAAGGTGCAGGAGGAAAGAGACGAGTTCCAGGAGGTGTTGAGGTTCTTCCATGATCTGAAAGAGGAGATACACACCATAAAAAGAATCAGATGGAGCTATGCGAGATGAAGGCTGCCACTCAGGAAATCGAAACCTCCCTTGAAAGTATTAAAAGCAAATTAGTCCAGGCAGAAAAATCAAACCTCACATGTTGAAGGCAAAACTTCTGAGCTAGAAAAAAACAAGCAAAAAAACTGAGAAAATAATCCTGCAAAATGAGAATACAATACGAGAAATAAAAGACAGCATTGAACGCCCAAACATCCAGATAAAATTGGTATCCCAGAAGGTGAGGAAACTAGTAAGGGCATTGATAATCTATTCCATGAAATCCTGGAAGAAAACTTTCCAAACCTAGAGAGGCACTCAAATATCCAGACCCAAGAAATACAAAGGACCCCTAATAGAATCAACCCAAGATCTTCCCCAAGGCACATCATAGCCAGACTGGCCAGATCTACAAAGACAAGATACTAAAACTGGCAAGAGAGAAAAGCCACCCCCCCACCCCCCGAAAAAAAACAAACCAAACAAAAAAACATTCTCAGATAAATAAGACCTGAAAGAATTTGCCGATAGCAGACCACTCTTCAAGAAGTTCTGAAAGGAGTGCTCGACCAGGAAAACTAAAGACACATACAGAAATAAGAGAACAAAGAGCAACTAAGAAAATGACCAATTCAATGTTAGGGACAGGAAATATCAATAATAACGTTGAATGTTAACTTCCAGGATTTAAATGGAAAGACTGGACCACAGTAACACTGCATATTCAACAGAACAAAGTTGGAACATAAGATTGAACTGGAGAAATATAATTTTATGATTTTTGAGTAGAACATTACTGATTTTTTTTTATGCTTTGTTTTCCAAATGTAAGCATTTTACTTTCTTTTGAACTGTTGATAGGTTCAGCAATTTGTTAAAATGTTTTTCTTGTTTGTTTCCTTAAATGGAAACATAAACTTTTCTTCCTTCTTGACCCCTCTGGAATTGGAAAATATTTGGGAATATTCTTATTTTGTGGCAGAAGGGTTATTTGCATAAATTCAATAATGCTTGTTGCATTGAAGCAGAAATTGGGGACCAGCAGTTAGTGTAATGGCTATATTGCTGGACTCCCATGTAGTCGACCGCGGTTCAGGTCCTGGATCCAGTGGCTTGAACTCATGCCACGTGCTTGTGCGTGCGTGCCCAGGATCCCGAGAGGAGAGTGGAGAAGGGATTGCGTGTGGCCATCCCCCTGGGGGGTGATTTCTCGCTTTCTATCTCTCTGTCTCTGCCTGTCTTTCTGGCAAGCGCAGGCGCCCTATAGCAAAAACCTCTCCAAAATTGGAAATACTCATCTACTCATTATTGGACAGGGCTTTGACTGGAATGTTATACCTGAAGATCAATCAGAAAACGATGGAACTAAGGTGGATCTCAAGTAAACCAACAGAAGCTCTTAGAAAGATGACCTGGCACCAGAAATAGTTCTGCCTGGCAGAGGGGATTAGAGAAGATACATGAAAGAATTTATAACATAAAATAACCTAGACTTTTCCAGCCCAGCGTTGTAATCAGTGGAGATAGCAAAAGAGCAACCACACCAGAGGATTATACTGAGAAAGACTCTGAAGGAAGAAAAAGAGACTGATCTTTGCTGGCAGATGGTGCATCACAGAATACTTGGGCAGGGCTGAAGTGAGGGGGTTCATGTGTGACTTGTGTGCTGGGCATTTGCTTTTCAACAATGTGAGTAGCTGACATGTAAATATTCTCTCAAAAACATTTAAAACCAGGGGCCAGCAGTTAGCGTAATGACTATGTGGCTGGCCTCCCACGTAGTCGACCGTGGTTCGAGTCCCGGACTCGGCGGCTTAAACTCACACTGGGTGCATGTGCATGCATGCCCAAGATCCCAAGAGGAAAATGGAGGAGAAGGGATTGCGGCGTGGCCATCCCCCCTGGGGGGTGATTTCTCGCTTTCTGTCTCTCTGTCTCCCTCTGTCTGTCTGGCAAGTGCACATGCCCTATAGCAAAAACCTCTCAAAAAAAAAAAAATTAAAACCATACTGCCTCTGTTGTTATTATAGTCACAAACAAAATTATAAGAAATATATTGAACATTATCTTTAAAGTTCAGTATTTTGAAATTTTGAAAGTTGTTCATTGTCAAGAACCATGAAGTATGTGCAAAAAATGTTTGATATATAAAGTAAATGTTTGTGGGAAAATGTAAAAAAAAAAAAAAAAAAAAAAAAAAAACTGAACATTAATCTTGTCTGAGACCCAAATAAGATTAACACCCGTATAAGTGACCACCAGCAGACAGGAGGAAGGGCGGCCTCCGAAAGCCCCACTGTGCCTAGGAAGTGGGAGGACTTGGCATGACCAAGCACAGGGGTGTGCAGAGAGCCCAAAGTGGTGCTCTGCCCGGCTCGTGCTGCAGGCTCTACGTCCCCCACTGTGGACCCAGCACCGGCCAAGCATCTGGGCAGAGGGTAGCTGCAGCTGCGATGCGGCTCTCCGAGTTAAGGCTGGCAGAGAAACGCACGGATGAGGAGACGGGGCTAGGGAGACCGATGCCCAGGCCTGAGGAACGAGCGTGAGTCCACCCGGAGAACTACCCTGGAAACGGAGCAGAGTCAGTCACGTGACGCCCTCTGGGCTGGAACCTAACCTGATCACCAGGACACGCAGCTGCAGGGCAGAACATGTAGGAATCGCCGGTAAGCGGCCCCTAGTCATTTCTATGTTGGAAATAACACACACCTGATTCGGTGTCAGCCTACAGAAAAAGGGAGAGCTGCACTTGCACATAACACCAAGGTGGTTTTACAATGTAAGCCTCGTTTCTCTTCTAGGTCTGCACTCATTCCTACTTTCTGTTTGTTTGTTTTTGCCATAGGGTATGTGTGCTCACCAAAGAGACAGAGAGGGAAAGTGAGAAATCACTCCCCAGAGGGATGGCCATGCCTCAATCCTTCATCCATTCTCCTCACAGGACCTTGGGCATGTACATACATGTGCCAGGTAAAATTTTCAAGCCACTAGGCTAAGAATAGAACTGGGGTCACCCCCGTGGGATTGGGATTCAGCACCTTAACTGCCACACCACCTCCTAGACCCTGGACTCATTTTTGTACCAGCCTTTTCTTGGTTTTTAATTTGCCAGAGGGCATGTGTACTTGCTGGAGAGAGGACCTGAGAAAGCCTCTCATGGGGGATGATCAAGCCACAATCCCTTCTCCTCTACTTGACCCTCCTTCAGAAATGCACATTAGGGACTAGCAGATGGTGTAATGATAGAAATTAAAAAAAAAAAAAAAAAAAAAAAAAAAAAAAGAACATTAATCTTGTCTGAGACCCAAATAAGATTAACACCCGTATAAGTGACCACCAGCAGACAGGAGGAAGGGCGGCCTCCGAAAGCCCCACTGTGCCTAGGAAGTGGGAGGACTTGGCATGACCAAGCACAGGGGTGTGCAGAGAGCCCAAAGTGGTGCTCTGCCCGGCTCGTGCTGCAGGCTCTACGTCCCCCACTGTGGACCCAGCACCGGCCAAGCATCTGGGCAGAGGGTAGCTGCAGCTGCGATGCGGCTCTCCGAGTTAAGGCTGGCAGAGAAACGCACGGATGAGGAGACGGGGCTAGGGAGACCGATGCCCAGGCCTGAGGAACGAGCGTGAGTCCACCCGGAGAACTACCCTGGAAACGGAGCAGAGTCAGTCACGTGACGCCCTCTGGGCTGGAACCTAACCTGATCACCAGGACACGCAGCTGCAGGGCAGAACATGTAGGAATCGCCGGTAAGCGGCCCCTAGTCATTTCTATGTTGGAAATAACACACACCTGATTCGGTGTCAGCCTACAGAAAAAGGGAGAGCTGCACTTGCACATAACACCAAGGTGGTTTTACAATGTAAGCCTCGTTTCTCTTCTAGGTCTGCACTCATTCCTACTTTCTGTTTGTTTGTTTTTGCCATAGGGTATGTGTGCTCACCAAAGAGACAGAGAGGGAAAGTGAGAAATCACTCCCCAGAGGGATGGCCATGCCTCAATCCTTCATCCATTCTCCTCACAGGACCTTGGGCATGTACATACATGTGCCAGGTAAAATTTTCAAGCCACTAGGCTAAGAATAGAACTGGGGTCACCCCCGTGGGATTGGGATTCAGCACCTTAACTGCCACACCACCTCCTAGACCCTGGACTCATTTTTGTACCAGCCTTTTCTTGGTTTTTAATTTGCCAGAGGGCATGTGTACTTGCTGGAGAGAGGACCTGAGAAAGCCTCTCATGGGGGATGATCAAGCCACAATCCCTTCTCCTCTACTTGACCCTCCTTCAGAAATGCACATTAGGGACTAGCAGATGGTGTAATGATTACGTTGCTGGACTCCTATGTAGTCAACCATGGTTCAAGTCCTGGACCTGGGGGCTTAAAACTCACACCGTGTGTGTGTGCGTGTGTGTCAAAATCACAAAAGGAGACTAGAGGAGAAGGGACTGCAGAGTGGCCATCTCCCATAGGGGGTGATTTCTTGCTTTTTGTCTCTCTGTACCTGTCTCTTTGGCCAGTTCATGTGCCCTATAGCAAAACTCTCTTTAAAAAAAATGCACATGTGCTCAGTGTGTTTTTCAAGTCAGCAGGTCTGGGACTAGCACCATGCATTCAACCCTGTAGGATCCAGCCATCTTAACTATCATGCCAGCTGGCCCAGTAAAAGCCTTTACATACAGAATAAAATAATAATATGCGTTCACAACAGGAACTATTTCTTTTTTTTTTTTTTTTGAGTTTTTTGCTATCGGGTATGTGCGCTTGCCAGAAAGACAGACAGTGACAGAGAGACAGAAAGCGAGAAATCACCCCCCAGGGGGATAGCCATGCCACAATCCTTCTCCTCCATTCTCCTCTTGGTATCTTAGGCACACACATACATGTGCCTGGCGTGAGTTTAAGCCACAGGGTCCGGGACTCGGACCGCGGCCAACTACATGGGAGTCCAGTGACATAGCCTTTATGCTAACTGCTGGTCCCAAGGAACTATTTCTTTTACTGCTGATTTGTTTACCCTACAAATATTCTAGATCCTAGTTTATAGATAAGTAGAGCACAGATCAAATTTACAAACACTTAAGTATCGCCTCCCTAGAGCAACCCAAAGCTTGCTGTCAGGAATGGCAGGAGACCCAAAAGCAAAAGGAGTGATGAAGCTGCTAGCAGGGGAAGGCGTGGCCGTGGCTGCTGAGGGGGCAGCACCGGGTGAGTCTCAGAAAGTACACACCTGGTTTTCCTTGGCAGAGGATTCCAAAAACGCTGCATTCCAAGATTCTGCCAAAGCTTTCCCTTCTTCGTAACTGATCACCCTAAAGGAAAAGAACACTTTAATCGAGCACTTTGCTCTGCACTACATGAAACATCTATCATGGATTTATCAGTCAGACTGGGCCCAATGTCATCAACTACACCTGAGCTAGGGACAGGACAGGCACTGCCGCCGGGTTACCCATGCTCCAGCAAGCTCTCCCAGCTCATGACTGGCTTTTCCAACACTCCACTACCTGTGCAGCCCAACTGCTTCATGCCTGGGTTTTAATAAAGCGCCCATAGCCGGGGCAGTGGTGAAAGGGCCTCTGCTAACTGTCATGCACAGCCCACGGGAGCCCCTTCACTTGACTCCGAGCGCCTCGCCCGGGTCTGCCTGATTACGTGAGTGCCACCCTTTTCCTTGGGACCCTGCTTTACAGCATAGCGGTCACGCTGAAGGCCATCCCTGCCAAGCGTGCACTTGCTTTTCCAGTGGAACTGGAGATCTATCTGTGGTTCTGCTCTCACTGTGCACGACTGGACAGACAGAGCATAGCTAATGACATTCTCGCCATCAGAAAATCATTAGGAATGGTGCTTTGGGGACTTAGTTTCATACATCAAATCCCCTAAGTCGGAAATGGTCTAAAAGCTACATACCTTTCCATATGCAGGTCTTTCTTATTCCCAACCAGCATAATAGGGATCCTGTTTATAAGACACGAAACCCAGAAGACGAGTCAGAGCAGACCGGCCGGCCGTGAACACGCTGTGAAAGCCGTCCACGGAGCGGCGCAGCTGTGCTACTTACTGTACTTTCCCCACCATGTCCAACAGCTTGCCGTGGATGACCTTGATCACTTCAAAGCTAGAAAACACAAGTCTGGAGTCAGACGTCCGCACCCACGTCCGGCTTCACAGTGCACGTTATGTAAAGTTCACAGAGGGAAACTGGAAAGGGGCAGACTTGCCACTCTAACAGTAACGAAACACAGATCACTTTCTTTCCTCCCCACCGATCTTTTGCACACACACGGGCATGCATGTGACACTCAGTAATATTTACTAAAAATGTTCAAGGTGACAGGTGAGACATCTAAATCTGAAAGGCTAACACTGGCCGACAGACCACATAAACCTGAATTTGCATTTCCCAACGCATTCAGCACAGAACCAGCTGCTAAATTAAGCCTGTGGCCCCTTCCTTAGCCAGAGGACCTAGTGCTCAGTGCCTCCCTTCTTTCCAGGAGTACCCGTTCTCTGGGGGGTGTCACTCTCCTGGCTTGGGATCCAGTCAGTGTGCCAGCTCAGGCTGAACTCAGAGACGTGGACACGCACCGCGGCCCCACTGCACACGGTCTGCCCAACCCCGGTCCAGTCAACCTCTTTGTCACTCAGTTTGTTTCCCTGTGAAGTGAGAAAACTTCTCTGCATCTCCGATGAAACCACGTTGTGTTATCACACAGCCCAAGAGCACAGCGACCCCATACGGCACACCGCACGCTCCCCGCCCCGGCACTTGGGCTGGTGTGCAGAGCCCGGCCGCCCAGCCAGCGCCGCTGCTCACAATGTGGCCGCGCCTCCCCGTGACAACGTCTGCAGCGGTGGTAACCAGGATGGCACTCAGTACAGGGCCAGAGGAGCCAAAGCCCATTCTCGGTCATAAAGGCAAGACTCTTACCGAAAAGCCTTACTTCCTAAGTTCAGAGGATACAACAACCAGCAAGAGAAAACTCCCAGGGCGAGTTAGGAAGTCCATTCTACGTTAACACGGTGAGCGCACAGGGGAGCCGACCTATGCTTTCCCCATTTCTATTAGCGGGAAAGACTCAGATCATGCCCAACACCTATGTGGGCAGCTCGAGGGAAGAAATGAAGAGTTTCTGATTCTGACACATGTCCCCCTTCACGACTTGGTGGCTTTGTAAGGAAATCCCAGAAACACGTTTAGCCTAATAATTAAGTCCAACTGCACTACCACCATCCAGCACGCTCCTTCAAAGGTTCACGCCGCCTGGTGTAAGCGGCTCGCGCAAGAACAGAGCCTTACCTTTTGATTGATGTAACAGAATACACAAGAATGTAGCCATTAATATCTATGGAGTATGTCTGAGGAAAGATGGAATATTCGTCCTGTGGAAGGAAAATAAGCGAATGAGAGCACGGTCCACAGAGCACAGCCAGCAACCTCCACCCGAAGCTTTCACACAAGAAATCGAGTCAACGAGAGAACCCAAGTAAAGCACCTGCGCTGTCAGTCCTGGGACAGTCTAGACACTGATGACCTGGGACGGCCTGGGGTGAGAGTGGGCTATAGGCAATATCCAGAGGCGGTCCTGGTCGTCCCAGGGTCACGGTGTACCTCTGCATACTAGGGGCTGAGGGGCACTGACGCAACTGCCGATTCCCAGGAGGACACGACGGGTGACCTCACCGAGATGCGAGCACTACCGCACTTCTGTGAACGCATCCAAGCTCTCTGACCCCACAGGGACCTTGCGAGTGCCCCAGGTTACTCCATCATTCTGGGGGTTCTTTGCATCTGAAGCTGTCTCTGCAAACCGGTCCCAATGGCCTGCACATGACGCTAGTATTAGAGGGCTGTCACCACCAGCATGTGACAGTGAGAGGGAAAAGGGAAGGGAATCCAGACGCCAGACCATGGGTGTGCTGGCTTCTGAGGAAGGAGGTCCCGAGCAGCTTCAGAACAGCGCGGGCCCATGGATCTGGACACGCCAGCACGTCGGTCCACAGTGCCACAAAGCGACCTCGTGAAGCTGCCCTGGATGCAGAGGCACAAGCACACAAGAGGCACGGTGCCAATGCAGTTTTCATCGCTGTCTGGTACGAGCGAGCCAATCAGGTGAGACCGGATGTCGCTACACACATCTCAAGCGCTGTTACAGTAAAGTCACGTCCTGCCACCAATAGGTAAAGCAGCTAACCTAGTTACAGCTACTGTTCGGAACAGCCTGGAATTACTGCCCTAAGGTACAGTCCTTAAATAACAAAAGAAAAATGAAGTTTTATTATCAATTCTTTGATATCATAAATAAGACCATAAACAAAATCCCAAATGATTTTAATTATTAGCTCAACTATAATCAGTCCCAAACTCTAAAGGGAAAATGTGGAAATGAAGAAAAGAGTGATGTGTAAGAAGCACTGTGCGGGTCAGTAGGCGGCGCAGTGATGAGGCAGCTGGATCCCACATTGCTAACTGCGTGGTTCGAGTCTTGGACCACAGCATGAAAAACACTCCAGGTGTGTGTGTGTGTGTGTGTGTGCGCGTGGCCCAAAATCCCAAGAAGGGAGGAGAAGGGATTATGGCGTGGCCACACCCCCATCCCCCCTGGTGATAGCTTACCCTCTCTCTCTCTGGTGTGCAGACACACCCTGAGCAAAACTTTAAGAAAACAAAAAAGGGGACCAGCAGTTAGTGTAATGGCTATGTTGCTGGACTCCCACGTAGTCGACCACGGTTCGAGTCCTAGACCTGGTGGCTTAAACTCATGCTGGGCGCGTGTGCGTGCGTGCCCAAGATCCCGAGAGGAGAATGGAGGAGAAGGGACTGTGGTGTGGCCATCCCCCCTGGGGGGTGATTCCTCGCTTTCTGTCTCTCTGTCTCTCTCTGTCTGTCTGGCAAGCGCACGCCCTATAGCAAAAACCTCTCAAAAAAAAAAAAAAAAAAGCACCATGCAAGAAATAGCCAGCGACGGCCGGCCTGGACTGCTGGTCCGACTGCAGAGGCGAGCAAGATGGCCATGCCTGTAACTGCCGGGAGGCGGAGGCAGAAGAGTCACGACATGGCAAGCTCCTGCCTAGAAACAAACACGGCCAGCTGGGCGATGCGGCAGGATGACTGCTCAAGCATGCTGGCCGTCACTGTATGGAGAGGTGGGTCCGGCTCCCTGGGCTGACCTAAACACCAGGCGTGCGTGCCCCAGTGTCCTGGGCTGACCTAAACACCAGGCGTGCGTGCCCCAGTGTCCTGGGCTGACCTAAACACCAGGCGTGCGTGCCCCAGCGTCCTGGGCTGACCTAAACACCAGGCGTGCGTGCCCCAGCGTCCCGGCTGGACGGGCAGGCTGTAGAGGGGGGCTATGGCAGCGGGATCCTGTTGAGGATGTTTGTCTCTCTCATGAAAGAAATAAAACTTAAGATAAATAAATAAAAACCAATCAATTAGAAGGTATATGGAGGAAAAAGACTCCCAACTGCAACAGCAGCCACAAAACGTTCCTAAGGATAAACTGAATAAAAGCACATGATCAAAAATTTTAAAGAACTCCCCTTTCTAAGAGACAAAATACAACAGTGCACTATGGTCTTAGGCAAAAACTAGACTCATGGGGCCAGCAGGTGGCATGGTGGTTAAGGTGTTGGACTCTCACATGGGCGACTGAGGTTCGAGTCCTGGACCTGGCAGCTTGAAACTCACGCTGGGTGTGTGTGCATGTGTGCTCAAATCCCAGGAGGAGAATGGAGGGGAAGAGATGTAGCGTGGCCATACCCCCTGGGGGGTGATTTCTCACTTTCCCTCTCTGGCAAGTGTATGCACACTGTGGCAAAAACCTTTAAAAAAATGCGGAGTCATAAAGATATCCACTGATTAATACTAAACCTATAAAGATGACATGGTTCTGATAAAAAGTACAGCTCTGGCCTAGTCACAATGGCAGGCAGTGACCGTCTGCCGGGGAGGCTCAGGAGGCCCAGGTTCGGCCTGTAGCAAACCTGCTGAGGCAGCTGCACAGGCCTGGAATCCTGGCTAACTGGGAGGCCAGGGCAGGAGGGTCACAGCACAGAGACCCTGGCAACAACTGCCTCTGTCCCTCTCCTAATCCCACGCCCCACCCTCTCAAATTAAAACAGGCTTTCTGAGAAAGAACAGCAGCTATGAGGGCAGGTGGGTGGACGCCACATGATGTTACAGTGATTCAGTGATGCCGTACTGGCTTAGAAATAGAGCACTGGACAGTCAAGACCCAAACAGGGAAATGATAATGCTGGCATTCAAATCAGTAAGGATTAAAGTAACCCTTGGGCCAGCCAAGTGACCTAGGGGTTAAGGAGGCTGGATCCCACAGAGCCAACTGAGCGCTTTCCTGACATATAAAAAAGAATTCTAGAGGCTGGCAAGTGGTGTAGTGGTTAAGGGTGTTGGACTGCCACGTGGCTGATCACAGTTCGAGTCCCGGACCTGGTAGCTTGCTTTCTTGCTTTCCCTCTCCATCTCTCTCTGTCCCTCTCTGGTCAAATTATAAACAAATAAACAAACAAATAAAGTTAAATAAAACAATTCTTAAAAAAAATTCCAAAGACATAAAAGTAAAATGCGGGACCAGCAGTTAGCCTAATGGCTATGTCACTGGACTCCCATGTAGTAGACTGCGGTTTGAGTCCCGGACCCGGTGGCTTAAACTCATGTCAGGTGCATGTGCATGCTTGCCCAAGATCCTGAGAGGAGAATAGAGGAGAAGGGATTGTGGCGTGGCCATCCCCCCTGTGGGGTGATTTCTTGCTTTCTATCTCTGTCTCTCTCTGTCTTTCTGACGAGCGCACGCGCCCTGTAGCAAAATCCTCTCAAAAAAGAAAAAAAAAAGTAAAATGCAACGCTGAGGTCATAGTTGCTATGGCCGTGACCCGCAGCCGCGACTCTTGGGTTTACACCTGCTGTCCAGCCTAGCAAAGAGCAGCTCTTCCCTCCAAGGGCCTTGTTGCTATCAGTCATTTCATAGCTGCCACCCCCCACTGCAAGAGGAGGAGTCGAACTCTAAGGCTCCAACCCTAACCCTACTCAGGCGGCTCTCTTTGAGCTAAGGCCGCCTCATGGAGACATTGGCTCCCTTGTTCCCCAAGTCGTAGGTGCACCTTCTGTGAGGAGGACAAGTTCCCCAGGGCCCAGAGGCCCAGAGGGCTCATGACAACAATCCACCAGAGTCTAACGACTAAGCCATGACCCCAGCAGCAGATGGAGCACGCAGTGTAACCAAGGGAAGTCTGTGTCACTGCCCTGGGTACAGCTCAGAGGCATATGTATTGTTCAGCCTCCAAAATGGACACGCCAGGGTTTGCTGGGGCTGCCGGGATGCGACACGGCCAGCAGGCTGAGCCCACGCCTTTGGCCTTGTCTTCAGTTCGGTGGAAACTGAAATGAGGAGAGCTCCGTTCCTTCCAAGTTCACGGCAGACAAAGCAGGGGGCCTGCATTCCCAGCCCATGGGACGGGGCCCAGCAGGCAGGCCTACTCCAACTCCCCGAGGTGCCAGGGAACAAGCCCCATTTGACATGCAGATCAGTTTATACCCACTTGCCCTCCTGCTAGTGTAAAAGGCGGGGGAGCAGCTACAAGCCCATCCTCCATGGGACAGGGGTAAGGTCGGGCCAGCAGAATGCTTTCTAGGAAAGTGGGGCTGGGCACCACGGCAAGGGGCTTAGCTGTCTTGTCTGCTGCCTTCCTGTGTCCCCCTCCCTCCTCTGTGCCCCTTCCACACACTACTGCTACATAACTAATCTAAGCACGTGCCAACTGGGGGACTAGTGACCCCTCCAGTTATCTGCTGTCTAGCAAATCACATCCACGCTCTAACTATTGAGTTGTGGGAATAGCCATGATGCATTCTTACACAGAAAAATAACGTCCTGACTTCTCCCACTACCCAACAATAATCACTCTCAAACCCCCTAATCACATAACCCAGCTACACAAACTTAGGGCAACATTCCCACCTGGGCCTAGATGCCAATCAAACCGACATTTCATTGCCCGAGGCCTCTCCCCCGAGAAGATTTACTTTTGCTCCGAATGTAGGAGAATGCACTTTACAGAGGGGGTAAGCCCTCAGACAGTTCTCTATCTAATACAGGATCCATGTTTAGTCAACAGAGACCCATGTAGTAAATGTGCAGTAAATGTGAGCCTCGCTATGTTAAGAATGTATTTAAAAGAATTCTAAAGGAGACAAACAGGTGATTTGGGAACTGCCACAGATGTCTTGGAAAAGACAAGGTCGACAGTGTACGCGCACCCAGGGACACGCAGGGTGCACGGCTCCCGGCAAGGCGGTTAAGCCCCGGTGCTCGGGCCAGGACTGGCAGGTGCACTAAGTCTCAGCTGCCGGAGGTCACTTACCTGCCCAGCTGTATCTACAAGTTGAAGATGATATTCTTGTCCATTTACTGTGATCAACTTTGTGAAAGCTACAGGGAAAAAGGACATTAAATATCAGTTTAAAAAGATCAGATCACCTAGACTGAATACCACCCAACCAGGGTCCCTAATAATTTCACCAAAAGCCAACCTCCTACCCCTCCAAGAACAAATCTGAGCTGTATAGTATAGATCCTTCCTGACCTTTGTTTATGTAGCTAATAAATAGTTTGTGCCAACTAAAGTGTGGTTAGACTGGAATCCCCCTTGTATAAAACTGCGAGAAAGGTGCACTTGTGCTCACAGGAAAGAGAGACTCAGAGAGAGAAAAAGAGGAGGGAGGGAGAAAGTACCTTCTAGAAGAGCACGGCCATGTTGTAATACAGCCTCCGTTTCTCTCTCACCTTCGGGTTTGGGGATGTACACGTGTGCCCAGTGGGGCTGGGATTTGATCCCGGTCAGCCATGTGAGACCTGGCTCCTTAACCACAGTACTATGGGGCCAGTCCATTCCTGAATCTGTTTCAAAGAAACTAAAGCTAAGCTATAATTCAGAGTCTAAAAATGATCTGAACGCTGACAAGTCCTTCCTCTTGTGACACAGGTGCAACCTGTGTGGAAGCACAAAGAGCTAATATTAATTGCTCAGTCCATGAATAGTAATGATCCTCTTGACAGATGAAGCGTCAATGGGACAGACGTTCTGTGCTGAAGCCGTCATTCCCACTTAGCTTAAGATCCAGCAATTTGCCACAACTTCTCTCTACTGAGGGAGGGAAATGAGACTCAAAGAGCTTCCGGGAAAGTTGATTCAGAATTCTAAGACAGACTCCAAACAAATCTACACAAAGAGGGAAAACTATTAACAGCAATGGCACATTACAAAGCAGCCACCTGGAGCCCGCCAAGCATGTGGCAAGCCTCTGCACACCCAGCCCGCGTGCCAAGGTGAAGACAGGTGGTGCGGGACCAGCAGGTGGCATGGTAGTTAAGGCGCTGGACACTCCCACATAGCCGACCATGGTTCCAGTCCTGGACCTGGTGGCTTGCTGTCTCGCTTTTCATCTCTCTCTCTCTCTGGTCAAATTAAAATGAATGACTGAATAAATAAATAAATAATTTTAAAAAAAGAGAAGACAGACAGGTGGTGCAGTCTATCCCAGCTCAGCTGTCACAGGTCACTCTGTCCCACTGCCAAAAGGTAAAGCAAACATAGACAAGTAAAAACGATGGAGCCAACCTGACAAGGAAGATGGACAGCTCTTATCGGAATTATGTGAGTTCCGTAAGGAGAGCAACAATGGCTGAGACAGATGCGACAGTCCAAGAGAATCACAGCAGCGTCACTCTTCCCCAGGCAGCACAGGGGCCAGAAGTCAGGGGCGGAGATCACATACAGACACTGTAACGGACACACCTCACCGTTCGGGTATCCTTTCCGCATGCACCGTCTGGCAGATACGGAAGGAAAGGAGTGGCTATTAAGCCAGATGAAAATCGAATCAGAGTATTTCAAGTTGGGGAACACCCAAAATAACATGCCTCATCAGAAACGTTCCTTCTCCCACCGTAACCTCTCTGAACTCCCTGAGCTTCCAATAACTGCCAGCCGGGGGGTAGTCACCACGCAGCCGCATAAAAACCTTCCATCAGGTAAGAGGGAAAAGTTCATTTAGAGTCGATGAAACTTCCATAAGAAACCCTGGTGGGCAAGGCCAACGCCCTCAGGGAGCTCCGAGTAACTGGTTATGGAGTACAACATGGTCACTGCATCTGCGCCCCGATTCCTGACACAGAACGTGCTCACCCGTTCCGATACCCTCTGGAGTGCCTGCCCTCCCAGCAGCACGGCACTACACCCGCAGCTCAGGGTGCTACACCGCAGGGCGGGGCAGAGGCAGACACACCTCGCACTCGCCCGCCCGCCGCCGGCACGTTTTCTCTAGGGGAGTGGAGAGACAGGGTGGGGAGTCGGGGTGGGGGGTTGTCTCTGAGTTGGAGAGGAGGCGGGCAACTTTGCATCTTTATTTTGAATGTGATGGGAAACCAAGGGTCTGAGCAGGGGAGTAAGACAGTCCACATTCTAAAAGATCACTCTAGCTACGCTGCAACAGACAAAAACGGACACAGGTGACCAAGTGAGCGCCCACAATGGTGACCGACCTCGTGACTCTCAGGAGCCACAGGAGACGACAGTGGCCTGGATGAGGGGGCAGAGTCTGGATGTATTTCAGGGGAAGGACCAAAATGACACCCTGATTGGAAGTGGGGCATTAAAGAACGGAGTCAGGATGGCTCTAAAGTTTCGGCTTGACAACTACTGACGGATGAGTCGCCACTCGTCAGCAGCGACAGAGACTGAGGAGACTTCGCGGATGGCGTGGAAGGGGACCGAGCTGAGCTTACACTAAGTCAAGTCTGCAACTCGTACTGAATACTCTGGGAAATGAAAGCAGGCAGAAAGCAGCCCAGAGTTTAGAGAGGCTGGAACTGGAATGCCTCTCTGTGGGCTAAGGACAGATGGCATCTGAGAAGGGATGATCACCAAAGGTCAGTGCGGAGAAAAGGCCTGAGCTTGGCCCCTCTGACGCCAAGTCAGAAGAACGCAGAAGACGCTCCCAGGAGACAGGCAGCGCCGGCCAGTGAGGCAGGAGCAGAGGGCCAAAGGCGTGCCATGTGTACTCCGCACCGCAAGCACCCGACAGTGGGGTAGTGTCTGTGACATCAGAGGGACGAAACCCCCCTATGCACAGCAGTACAGTAAACCTGAGGCCTTCCCTCTGCCCTTGCCAGCGAAACGGCCTCTTCCTGTTGCTGCAGAAAGGAGGGAAGTGTTGAGGAGTGGGGCAGACCGGGAGCCCACCCCCCTCTGCCCTCAGGCCTCCTCAGGCCTCCTCGTCACCATGGCACTCCTCCAGCTGGCTTTTCAATCACTGGAGAGATTAATCCACTTCCAACCTAAAGCCGTGAAATTCCCCTAAGTAGACTAACAGCTACTCATTAGCAAAAGCTATTAAGGAAGATAATGGAGGATTCCAAAATCTGGTATTGATGAAGTAAGAGCGAGTTACTGAAGTGTGTGACTCTCATTTCATATCCCACTGAGCGGCCTACCAGCCTGGCCTGGCCTACACTACCCTTCCCTACCCTTCCCTACCCTACCCTACCCTACCCTGCCCTTCCCTACCCCCAGTGCAGTGCAGTGCAGTGCAGACAAGGCTGCGAATGTGAATGCGAATACCAATGCGAACGCCCATTCTCTGAGAGGCGCCCGCCAGTGGTGGTGCTTGAGACTGGCAGAAGCGGTAAATGCTGCTTCTGCTTCTGTTAGAATCTACCACTAGTCTAAGTTCACTAACAATTCAGCTTGTGTTGAGCTGCCAGAGGAACACTACGGTAGGTAAGGAGCATACTGGCTTAAGTCGTACTTGGTTTAAACATTTCCTCAAACTAGAAAATACATGGAGGTTTTCTGCCTTTATAGCCATACTTCAAGGAGATGTGCTACCACTGACTGTTTGCTCTGAACAGCCTGCCTGTTCAGACTGTGAACACTAATGTAAAAACGACTAGGTATTTCTGTATCTACAGAGTACCATTTAAAAAAATATAAAAAACTGTCGTTTATTTATTTCACTATCAACAAGGTCATGATAACGTTTTCTCTCTCTTTTTTAAAGAAAGAATTAATTTTACTTATTTTACTTTGTTATTTTAATCTGACCAGATAGGGACAGAATGAGAGAGAGAGAGAGATGGGAAGTGAGAGAGCAAGCTGCCAGGTCCGGGACCAAAACCACAGTTGGCCACGTGGGCGTCCAGAGCCCTTAACCACCACACCACCTGTTGGCCCCAGTAACTTTTCTTTCTAACTCACTGTTCTCAGCTTGCTTGCTTTTTTTTTTTTTTTTTTTTTAAACCAAACAGTGGAGGGAAAGGGTAGAATACAGGTTGAACTATTAAAAAAATGGGTAAGTAGAATTTGATGTCTGAATATGCCTCGTGAACTTCATTTGTTTTTGTTTTGTTTTGATATAGGCACATCCACTTGCCAGAGAAAGAGACAGAGAGAAAGTGAGAAATCTCCATTCTCCTCTTGCGACTTTGTTAGGCACACACATGCACCTGCCGCATTTCTCAAGCCCCCAGGTCTGGGACTGGAACTGTGCAGTCAGCCATGTGGGACTCAGCTACCTTAACTCCCACACTGCCAGCTGGCCTACCTCACGAACTTTTAAGGGATACAAATAATCTGATATTCATTTCTGTTCTTGCATAAAGACTTAAAAATAATCTAAAAACAAAAAACCGCAGGTTGAACATTCCTAGCCCCAAATGCTCCTAAATCCACGAGACTTTCTGAGGGCTCACACAATCAACACGGTGCCATGACAATGGGCCTGGGCCACCGTCCAGCATGCTGGAAATGTGCACCCCGTGGGCTGGCCCCCATGGGAGGGCCGGGTTTGACCCTTCTGGCTTCCCTGTGTATACCGAGGTGCATACATACCAGCATCTAGGGTGGCTGGGGGAGGACTGTGGCTCTGGGACCCTGTTGAGGAGTGCTTCTCTGTCTCTCTCAGAGGAAACAAATTAAAAACATACACTATATAAAATTACCTTTAGGTTATGTGTGTATGGTGCACCTGCAACAGTGGATTTTGCGTTTAGACCTGGGTCCCATCCCAAGATATTTTATTATGTGTATGCTAATATTCCAACATTGTGAAGATTCCCAAATCTTTTAAAGCTCTTCTGGTCCCAAGCATTTTGGATAAAAGATACTCAATTTATACCTTTAATTCATTTGAGATTTTGAAAGTTTATTATTGAACACTAAGATAAAAACCCACATAATTATTTCCATCCCCATTTTTTTCAGTTTTTTGTTTTTAGAGGCTTTTTTGCTAAAAGGAACATGCATTCACCAGAAAGACATGGAGAGAGACAGAGAGACAGAAAGCGAGAAATTGCTCTCCAGGGGGAATGGCCACGCTGCAATCCCTTCTCCTCCATTCTCCTCTCAGGATCTTGGGCACACATGCACACGCGCCCAGCCTGAGTTTAAGCCACTGAGCACAGGACTCAAACTGCGGTCAACTACATGGGAGTCCAGTGACATAGCATTATGCCAACTGCTAGTTCCGTAAAACACGATTAAACATGATACTGACACCCTTAAAAAGAAAAGTCACAATCTATTTTGGAGAAAATATTAAGTGGTGTAATCTGGACTTTATTCTATCCATTACCTATAAAAAAATTCATATATAACATGATGGCTTTCCTTCCAACTCCATTTAAAATGGCACAAGGATAGGAAATGTATAAAAATAACTTTTATGGGCAGAGAGTACCCAGAAACCATCTTCTATTGTTCCATGAATGAAACTCCTGAATAAATATTACCTTTTCAAGGCCATAAACCCTAACTTGCTATGTGTAACAAACGCAAGGCCAAAAGCCTAACTTGCTATGTGTAACAAATGCAAGGTCTCGGTCATGGTGTTCCTCCTACGTTCTTACTTCAGCGGACAGGTAACCAAGCTCATTCACCAGCATTCGCATTAATCTGCTGCTCCTCACGTTTACTCTAGAAGTGACCAGCTACGCAAACAACACAGCATGCAGCCAGGACTCCTCCACGCTGACAGAGGTTACCTTCAAACATGGGTGTCTGCTTAGGTCAGTTTAGCAGCCACCAGTTTCCTTCTCTGCCACTGGCACACGAGGACAGAAACGACAGCAAAATATTTTAAGCCAGGGGGGTGGGCAAGCTTCCTGTAAAGCAGAATGGAGAGTAACCGTTCTGGCTTTGTAGGCCGAATGGTCTCTGTTGTAATTATTCAGCAACTCTGCCATTCTGGAGCAAAGGCCACCATAGACGGTATGCATGGGAATGAGCCTGGCTGTGTCCAGTAAAACTTTACTTATGGGGTGAGCCCAATGGCTTGGAAGACATGCCAGCCACATGTGCATGCATGTGTGCATGCCCAAAATCCTGACAGGAAAGAGGAATGAAGGGAAAAGGACTGTGGGTGGCATGATCATGCCCCACTGGGCATGTTTTCTCTCCCTGTAGTGCATGTGCCTTCTGGTAATTAAAAAAACTTAATTTATGAATGCAGAAATTTGCATTTCACATATTTCCCTATTGCATATTATTATTCTTCAGGCTTTTTGGCCTTAAGGCTGTGGTTTGTCAACAGCCTTCTAAAAGCCATAGTATTCCCAGGAACCAGCAGTTAGTGTAATGGCTATGTCGCTGGATTCCCATGTAGTCGAGCGCGGTTCGCGTCCTGGACCCGGTGACTTAGATCTCACGCCAGGCACGTGTGCGTGCGTGCCCAAGATCCCGAGAGAATGGAGGAGAAGGGATTGCGGCGTGATCATACCCCCTGGGGGGTGATTTCTCACTTTCTGTCTCTATGTCTCTCTCTGTCTGTCTGGCGAGTGCACGCGCCCTCTGTCTCTCAAACGAGTGCATGTGCCCTATAGGAAAAACCTCAAAAAAAAAAAAAAAAAAAAAAAAAAAAAAGCCAAAGTATTCCCATCCCTTCTGCAAGGCTGGGCAGGTGACGTCTTTGAACCCAGTTATTCCAGCTCGTGGACCAAGCTGTTAAGTCTGCTTCATGTCTAATATGCCAATCAGGAACTGAAGAGCCTCATGTTTAAATCTTTATGTTTTTGGTGACAAATCTTAGACAAATCCTGGTCTCAGGAACCAGAGGATGAGGCCTATGGCCCACCTGGGGGCAGCCTAAGACAAGATTGCCTTCCAACGAGCCACCTTCCCTGGGTGGCACAGTTTCAGATACCCAGAGACCCCTGCAATGAAGGCGGGTCTCAGGATCCTGGAATCCTTCAGGAAGATTCTGAAGCCACGGACTGCAAGGTGAACACAGGAAGGTGGTGGTTGGCTCTGGTCTCCTATGCTTATTCCTGCCCTTGGCCTGAAATGCCAACAGGTTTTTGAGCTAATCTTTCTTTTTTTTTTTTTTTTCTAAAAAAAAGGTTTTTTGCCTCCAGGTCCATGAGCCTGTCAGACAAGAACCAGCAAGAAGGGAAGTGACAAATCACCCCCCAGGGAAGATGGCCACGCCACGATCCCTTTTCTTTCAGGGATCTTGGGCACACACACACATGCCTGGCATGATTTTCAAGCCACCAGGTCCTAGACTCGAATCATGGTCAGCCATGTGGGAGTCCGTCGACATAACTGTTACGTCACCTACTGGCCCCGAGCTACTGTCTTCTCAATGGTGTGACTCCTCTCTCCAATTCCAAAACAGCTCACTTCTCAACGGTTTCCTAAGATTTTAAGGCTGGAAATAGAGAGGCAGGGGTGGTACTTCTGTAAGAGTACGGTACAAGGGATCCAGAGAGGTTTTGTTCTTTCATTTTAAGCTTGGATTCCCCCAAAAGAAAGGAGGGTGGTAAGATTATGCTCTCTATTCCTCTTTTCCTGAAGCAAAGTCTGGAATAAGAAGGTTCCAAACCAGGACCAGACTCCTACTGACTTAAGTAACAATTTTTAGATGGCAGGGGATATGAGCCCAGAATGAAAAATCATCTGGTGTAAAGCTTTTGGAAGCTTTCTTTGTCCCCACTGAGAGATACATAGATTTAACAGAATACCCTGGTAATCAAAGCCTCCACGAATATACAATGGCTATTTGTACATAAAAGACGCTTCTCAGTTTATAAGTACTTGAAAACAATACTTACTGTTTTCAATGGTTGGATCATAGGAGTCAACAAATTGGCCTTCAACAAACTGAATTGTCAATGAGGATTTCCCTGTAAGAGAGAACAATAGCTCAGTATGTATTCACATATTTTAGTAAAAAATATAATCCTACTGTTTAAAAAAAAAAAAACACTCTAACAGATGAAGAGAGAATTGGGTCAGAAAACATTCCTTTAATTAGCACTTAAGCCACTTCAAAAACCAAAATGTTTCAGTAATTTGCTTTCTATGAGAGGACTTTCAGCGACTGCTCTTACAAGTTAAGCGCTGTGGTTACATTAACAAGTATTACTGACTCGGGCCAGCAGGTGGTGTGGTGGTTGAGGTGCTGGACTCCTACATGGCCTACTACAGATCGGGCCCCAGACCTGGCAGCTCGCTTTCCCACTTTCTGTCTCTCTCTAGTGAGTGCACATGCCCTATAGCAAATTAAATACTCGTAATAAAAAATAAAATTAAATAAGTAATTCTTAAAACAAAAAAACAAATATTACTGACCAATGAGCACATTGGACATTGTGCTAAAGGTAAGCTCAAGGTATAAAACTGAGCTCATCTTCTCTGATGTTCTTAAAACCTGGTATTTAATTCTAATACGGAAATTAGTAAGACATTATTAGTTTCTTTGTGCTCTGTATATACAGCTGTTAGAAGCGTAAACAGGTGTTATTTGTTAATGAGGACGTGTACAGTTATTCTCAACTGGGCTGGACTGAGGTGTACATCAAGCTGGGTAAAGTCTCTTTATAATCTAAATGATGTACAGTGATTAAATGTATAAATAATAATTAAAATTAATAATAATAACAATAAAACTAAAAAGAAAAAAGAAGTGCAACCATGTATGATTTTAAGAGTAATTCAGGGCCCACCCCAGAGCATACTGGTGAAGATGGCTAGATCCCCACATGATTGACTGCATGGTTTGAGTTCTGGACCCCATGGCCTGAAAAATACACAGGGTGTATTTTGTGTGGATGCATGCCCCAAAATCCCGGAAAGAGAGACAGAAGAGAAGGGACTGATCATTCAGCACCAAAGGCCCAGCAGTATCTAGACAATTAAGAAACACACTGAGAGGCCAGAAGGTGCAGCAGGAAAACACAATGCTCTGTGAGGCGCTCCCATGTGGGAGGGCTCTCAGTTCCAATCTGGAGACCTCCCTGAGGGCCCTGGGCACAGGCATGCCTGTGATCTGGGCCTGGCTGAAGGCTGAGGGACCATGGTGTTGGAACCCTGTTGGGATGCTGTCACTGTCTCCCTCCCTCTAAGAAACTTAAAAAAAAAAAAAGATAAAGAAATGCTTGAATTTCATAAAACCATTAGGGATAACTGAGCCTGTATGTAAGCAGATCAAGAACTAAGACCTGGGATGGCCCTAGAGCCTGTGGTTAAGGGAACAGGAGCCCACATGGCTGACTGTGGTTCAAGTCACAGCCTTGGGGACTTGGGAAACAGGTCGGATGTGTACGCACGTGTACATACACCCCGTTGGGGAGCTCATGCTCCCTTCTCTCCCTGTTTCTCTCAGAGGAGCACATGTGCCCTCTGGCAATTGAAAAAAAGAGAGAAAGAAAAAAGAACAAGAACTAGAGCCCTAACTTCTTACAAGCACTCTGAGGACTTCAGAACAGGGCATATAGCCCCGGAATTAACTGTGAAGACACAAGGGTCCCTCCAAACCTCACCCCCACTCTTGCCTCACTCCCGTCTCAGGACATCATTGCTCACACGCTGTTTGCCACCCTGACCTTCCGTCTAACAAAGAGGGTGCCCTGGGAGTGAAGGGGAGCTGCGGCCCTACCACCTCACACTCCTTGATCCGGAGATCCACCCCTCCAGACCATGGAGAGCAAGACTTCACGGGCGGCTCAGTGTGCTCAGAGCACAGCTGCAGAGAGATGGCAAGGAAACCCACGGGCTGGCCGGCCTACCTACTCCTCATCAGCAGCTCCCCGCAGTCCCGGGGCACCAGAACCACCGACACCGGCTGCCGGTCTCCACCATGTGGCCTACACTAAACTTGCAGAATCAGTCATCTCCCTGCTTAACGTCCTCCTTGCAGCCAGAATCCCCACGTCCCGAGCACAGCGCCACAGCAGCGGGCCTCCCCGCCCTTGCCGGCCACCCTTGACCTGTCTGCTGCCACTAGAGCCCTCCCCAGGCTTCAGGCACGGCCCTTTGCTCCTGCCAAGTTCCTGCCTGCCCAGACCCCTTTATTCTCACCACTCCTCCCTACATTTTTAAATGTCAGCTCATTTCTGTTATTCTGGTCTGAGCTCAAGTGCCACTTCCACTCAGAAACCTTCTAGAAGACCCTGTCACCGATGGTGGCGCCGCTGTCCAGTCACTCCCAAGCCCTCCTGCCATTTCTTCCTCGTACCCGAGTGCTCTGAAATGACCTCCACTGTTAGGCCACCGAGACAGCACGTGCCGGCCACAGCAGAGGCACTCGGGTATCTAGACAAATGAGAAAGGCGCGGGCTCAGACCTCGGAAGGCCACTCTCACCCATTCGGACGCTACACAGATTTCTGTTCACTGCTTTGGAAGCAGAGCTGGATTAAAACAGCAAAAGAAGGGGACTCCGTGAGAGATGCGCGGCGTGCTCCCCAGGACGGGGAGCTGGTGGGAGACTTCAGCTAGACAGCTCAGCTGGCATCACTAAGGCTCACCCGCCTCACCTGCGGGTGCGGGGGGTGGGAGAGCAGCCTCGGAGAGGGAACGTTCAGGTTGTAGACGCATTAAATGAGAGTCTGAGAGAAAGGGCAAAACCAGAGTGCAAGCGGACAGGTGGGCCGCGCCCCGTCTGTCACTTCAGGCTAGCTCACTTTTCACCGGGCGACATCATGATGGCCCTGGCAGACGCAGCCAGGTGGGCACAGCAAAAGCCCAGGGCGGGCTGCAAACACGCAGCACCGGGGCAGGAAGCTGAGAGCCTGTTCCCAGGCTTCACGGCTTCCCCATCGGCCCCAGGAGAAGGTACAACTCATCAGCGGAGGCGTCCCCAGGGCTTCTCTCTAGGACGTCCTCCCAAGAGGAAGTGCTAATTAACTGAAATCAAGAAGGGACGCACAGGAAGGCTGCCACTGTTGCCTGCCATTTCCAGTAAAAACAAGACTCATCAAATGAGGGCTGAACCTTACAAGTCAGCATTAAATGATAATTCATCTCCCAAATAAACCTCGGCCTCACCCCCAAGTGTTCTTAGTTCTGGCTTTCAATCCTGGGAAGCAGAGATTCAGCTCTTTGTGCAGGCTTCACGGGCTGGTTGTTCACAGTCACAAAAAGTTTGTTGGTTTACTGGGATCATCTTCACAATTTCCCCCAATAACTTTATCAATGTCCTTTTTTTTTTTTTTGCTATAGGACATGAGGGCTCTCTGGGGGTAGGGGAGAGGGACAAAGAGAGAGAACGCGCACGCACCCCCAGAAGATATAGCCACACCGTAATCCCTACTCCTCCTCCATCCTCCTCTTGGGATTTGGGGCACACATACACATGTGCCTGGTGTGTTTTTCAAGCCACCATGTCTAGTTCTCCAACTGTGCAATTGGTCACGTGGGATCCGGCCGCCCTGACCCCTCGCCACCAGCTGGCCCTACTCTTTGACTGTCCTTAGCAGATTCAGGTTCTGAAGCACAGGTCCCTGCCTGACGACATCTGGGCACCAACCGTGTGCTCAGAGCACCTCGAGCTCCAGACCAAGGCTGTGGAGAAACGCGGCCTGGAACAGTGCGGGAGTGACGGACAGAGATGGAAAAGCAGCCCCTCCCTGCAGACCTGCTTATGTACGCTGGCATTCAGACAGATTTGGACAGATGCCATTCGACCCATGACAGGTCACCATTCGTGGTTTGAAGAGGCACCTCTCAACCCCCACAACTAACTTCCACAGGCTCTGCCTCCAAACCAAAACCACTTGGATTTCAAAAACCATAAAAAAATTTTTTAAATTTGTCTGGGGCCAGCAGGTGGAGTGATGGTTGGGGAGCAAGCTCAGAGGCACAAAATCCTACAGCCACGTGGCTGGTGAACACCAAAAAGCCGTGTGG